CGTTAATTTCGTGAATTCGTTATAACTCGGTTCAAAATTGAGCATTCGAGAATCCAAAGATATCTTTGAATTCAGCTCGTCGGACACTATAAGAAGTGCTTTGATACTTTGGAAAAGCTCCATATAGGATTGCGCCATGCACTCGATTTTCATCTCAAAAAGTAGTTGCTCGCATGTGATGTGTATATAATCCCGCTTATGCGGGCTGACCGCTACACACAGAGAAGGGCCTCAAAACTTACCCCAGAATGCGCCACGTACTCAATCTCATCCACTACATTGTGAGATTAGATGAATGTTATTTTCCGAATTCTTAGATCTTCATTTCGTTTTTAAGCGCTTACTGGCTTTACGTGTTCCCTCTGCTCTCAATATCCCATCCTCTGTATATCAAGTGGAATCTTTGAACAGTTCTCAGCAGGCAGTTTGATAGAGCACAGTGACTGTAAAATCTATCGACAACAACCATTAACAAGCACCCCCAAATTGAAAGTGCCCATGTTTACCGTGAAAGCTTCTCATACATGCTTTCAGGCCAAGGCCAACACTAACGACCGAACAAACTTTGTCTAACCCCTCCTGAGAGCGAGCATTGCAGTGCAGAAGAGAGGTTTCCAGTAGTTTTGGGTAATTGTAGAGGGTTGCGTCAGCTACCTTCTGTAGTTGGTTAGAGCACATGTCGCTGCCACAGTAGTGCCACTTTCCAGCTATTCGTAGTAGATCCCATCACAGTTCCACCGACAGCTTTGGTGAACCTAATTCTCCTGTAAGTTACGTTTCGCTGCTTCCGTGGTAGTTCGCTCATTGGTAGCCACACTTTCTTACGGGTGTATTTACGTACAAGACCCAGCTTTCGCCTTCTTTACTAGCAAAATCCTTTCTGTATGGACGAAGAAGCAATGATTTGGCAATGCTGATGCGGCAGGCCCGTTCCGATTCGTAGAGTTTGTGAGGAACCCATGTCACAGGAATTTTGTGAAAGCCAAGCGAGGCAAGACGATTGCTGACGGTCAAGGTGCTGCACCCTCGTACCGTTGCTAATTCACGAGTGGTTGTTGTGGTCGGCTATGAGGTCAAAGCTGCGCAAACACATCATATTGTAGAGTTGATGGATGGGAGTCCAGGATGTTCCTGATCTTCGATAGGAATGCCATCGGATTCAAACCGTTGATCTCCAATCGATTATTCGCCTTTGAATAGCTAGCGACAGTCGAATACAAAGTGTTGCAGTCAGGGTGAATATCGGTCGACGGAAATCCTCGACAGGGGGTCGTATTTGTCAGGCTGGGTCATGGGGGGTCGTACTCGTGGGGTCAGTAACATCAGTGGCATCGTGGTGCAGATAGGAGTAAGAGGGTATAGCGCGAAAACGGAGATATGTGAAAACATGATATAAAGTGGTGGTTCAGCCGCTCCATCTACCTTTATGAGAAGGAAGTATTTGAAGGCAGTACAAAGAATGAAAGTGCATCCCCGCAAAGAAGACTGCCACATGTGCGCACGCGCTGCAAAGGCACCTCCTCTGCCTATCGCTCGCTCCTTCTCCTTAATACCTCGCTGAGAATGACACTGTTGTTAGGGACCCTGTCGCAAAAACGACAACCGTGAAGGAAAAGCCTGGGCAAATGAAGTTGTTCTTGTAGGAGTTACGAAATGTGTTTACTACAATGCAGCTTCTGTCAACTGGTCATGATCATATAACACCTTTCAATCGATTCTGCAACTTTGAGTGGAGGTCGGATGCATGGCCTATACCAAGACAAATCGGATGATGACGATTGCCCCTTTTCTTATTGCTTGCGTTGAAAGAATGTATTCTAGACACATTTCGAGAGTTGCCAACGAATTACTTGCAATGGTGAAGAAGGGAGCGGACTTTTTGAGTGGCCGAGAATCGTCCTCGATAGATCCTCGACGCAAATATCTCCTCAACTAAGAATGTAGAAAGAAGCTAAACAGATGTTAGAAAGCGCAAACCTTCCGCTTTCCAAAACTGTCTTCCTTTTTTTCTCACGAAATTAGAGAGATATTGCCTTTGAAGTGGCAAAAACTCGCATGAAAATTTCAGCGTCCTCGACGTTTACTCGACGAAATTTGAGAGACCCTATCTCTCTGCATGGAAGGCTTTTGAGCAATTTCAACACTGGTTGGAAACGCGAAACCCAGCTCTATCTAAACCTACCGCATACTGCTTAAAGGTTGTGAATGGGAGGAATGGTACCTTTTCAACGAGGGTGTAGATTTCTGTAGTTTTCGGGGCTCTTCAGCAAATCTGACCCAGTGATTAACGGCGCGTGACCACCGGTCAGTGTAATGAAAATAGTTGCGGTGCAAATCAAAGTTATGGGTGGTCGTACGACCCTGGTTCTGGTGGGAGGGTCGTACTGCCGAGCCCATGCCCTCGACACGATTTTCATCATGGCTGCAGGAATTTCTGGACTCCAATGTTAAGACGTAGCATCGATCTTGTCACAATTTCTAAATGCTCTACTCAATCCTACTATATATAAGCGGCTAGCGTGTGTCTGTTGTGTGTGTGTGTGTGTGTGTGTGTGTTTGAACGGAAATTCATAGCTCGAGTCACAGTAACGATAGCGCAGTGGTTCTTATATGTTATAGGGGGTGGGATGGGGACACAAGTGGTACGTGATAGGAACTGATAACGACTGATCCATAGTTGATACCAGAGGGCTAGAACGGCGACATTTCGATGAACAATTCACGTTTGCCGTTCATATTGTACAGCAGTGCTTCTGATCACCCTATACAGTCTTATGTGGGGCGGTCCCCGGAA